AGATCAGACTGTACTCAAACACATCATCAGATCAGACTGCACTCAAACACACCATCAGATCAGCGTTTTCACTCGGCTGTAGTTGCGATGGAGCACAGACTCGTTTCAAACAGCTGGATAAAGTTTTGGTTTGTTTTTAGTTTTTGATGCAGGGACAGTTCTCTGATTACAGACAGCTGTGATTCTTCAAGCGGTCAAATTCATCCTGTTTTGCTGTTTTACAGACTTTCAAAACTTAATTTCATCTCCTGAGTCACGAGAGATTCAGTGTAGGTGTGAAGAGGTGAATGTTTGGACCCTGCCAGCTCAGCGCCTCACCCGGTGTGGCGGCGTGTGGATCAGGGCCCGGTAGAAGCAGGTGGTCTGCGGATACAGGGCCAGAACCAGCTGGTCCTTGCTGAATAGGGCCTCCGGGTCAGTCTCTGGGTTGGCTTTCCACTGAGGCAGCGGGATGATCCTCCGTCTGCTCAGAGTGTGTCTCCTGATCGAACACAGCATAAGAACAATTTGTTTAGAATGTAGAACTGAGGAACCAGCACTTTTAGTGTAACTCTCTGGAATTTTTACTGAACGAGTCCTTGGTTCTAACCTGGACTGAGTCAGAACACCATATTGCTCTAGTTTATCAAAGTCTGTTTATAGACTTCATTGTATTTCCAGCCCTCAGTACCAGAGCAGAGCATGTAAATGGACTGTCCTTAAACACACCTTTCTATCTTATGAAGATACTCAAAGCTCTTTACAACGCAATCTGTGTCCTCATTTATCAGAGTCAGAGAGATTTGTCATACACACCACACGTGACACATGAGGTGGGGTGAAACTATGTATGCAGGACCCCCGTTATAATAACATAAATTGTAAAGAAATAAAAAAACATTAGTAAGATCCGAGTCATGAACTAAGAATATACTATTCACTAAACTAAGAATACACTAAGCACTAATGGTACCATTTATCCATTCATACAGCACTCTACTAGATCTTTACAAATAATAATCCGAGCTTTATCACATTCATACACTGATGGGACACACATCAGAGGCAATGTGGGGTTCATTGTCTTATTCCCCCCCACCCACCCCATACTGTCCAGCATTGTGGCACTCAGAATTGTTGTCCGAGTGTCAAGGTGAGGTCCAACAGATTTGCTTTCACAAGCAGAGCATTACAGCTGGCCATAATGCTCCAGTTGATATGTAAATAAAACTTTTATTAGAATTGCTTTGGGTTTGTTTCAGATGTAATGGACACAAGGACAAAAAACAAAAAAGAAAACAAAGCAGAAAAGTGGGAGAAGGGTTTAAAAGGAAACAAGGAGATAGGAGTAGAGGAGAGAGACGTACAGAGAGAACGGTCAACAGCACTGAAGTCTGCCTCTAGACCTGTGGAAAGAAAATACAAAACTGGGAAACCACAACAACAAACAACATGCATATATAATGATACATATAACATCATTGGAAAGTATTTTATATGGTACATGGTAAGACAAGATGTATTTAGTGGCCACCACAACCCAACTGAGTGTTTATCTGACAAACACTTGACTCTAAACACCTGTGTGTGTATTTGTGTGAGCATGCTTGTCACTATAAGGTTTCTCCATAAGAACGTTCAATAGTGGATGTGGGGACCCACAGCTCGCGGTGAAATGGCCACGTGTGGCAGGTGAAAGTACGGCAGGCCATGTTATCATATAATTGGATCACAGCTGATCCTGACCCAATTAAAAGCCCGACACAGACCCGGCCCGCCCATCCAGCACATTATCATGGTCCGGCCCTCCCCGAATTTGGGTCAGGTGGGGTCGGACTTCGGACTCAGGTTAGAAATGACAGCTCTAGCTCCTAGTGTTAACATTACTGCATTTAAATTGAAGGTACATTGAGATGGTGAAACGCTATATTGTGTGATAAGACGCAATATTAGGACCTTTAATATTAGGAATATTTAAGAGTACTCATATAATGAGCTTGATTATATTTATATTATGAACTTATATTACTATAGTAACGATGACAAAACAAAAATGTATTACTTATATTTATGATGGTTTTTGATATTGTTAAAACTAGGGATGCACCGATCCACTTTTTTTTTGTTACTTCCGATCCGATCCCAATACCTAAATCTAAATATCGGCCGATACCGATCTAGTTCCGATATCATCATTGATTTTATATGAGGCTGTAATAATCTCCTCTCAAGTACAATTTGCACAAATATATGCATGCATGTCTAAAAAGGCAACTTGAGGTAAGTTTTATTAATGTTGGATAAGTTTCAAAGTTAGAATTAAATTCTGCTAACACAAAACATGTTTCTTTTTATTTCTAGCTTTAAAGTGGATATTAAAGTGATTAATTTAAGTGATTAAAGTTATTTAAATGTTTATATATATATATATATATATATATATATATATATATATATATATATATATATTTTGGAGTTATAGCCCCCCCTGGAGAAAAGTCCACCAGCCGCCATTGTCTACAAACCTCTGCAGCACCCCTCAACCAGCAGGGCCGAAATCCCCCCAACGGAGTGACAAGTGGGGCAGGAAACCAGAGAGCCTGCCAAGCCGCCCGGCCAACACCAGCAACCCCAGTCCGCACATCCATGAAACAGCACATGCGCCCACGCCAGCCAGGAACCCGCATCCGAGCCGACCCACCACTCCAGGCCAAGGGCAACCCGCCAGCAACCCTAGTGCCACCACAAGGTTCACTCCACCAGCCCACCCACCCGCCAGTGACCCCAGTCTAGCCCCAGGCCTGGAGCCAGAGCAGGAGTGAGAAGCAGCAGAGGAAGGCCGGCCCAGTGCACCAAAGACCAGGCACCCTACCAAACCCACACCACGGAGGAGACGTCCAGGCATGCCACCAGCACACACCACCCCCGCACACCCCACATAGCACACCCCCACCGCAAATGCCACACCAGGCCAACCAGCCAGCGCCCCGCCAAGGCGAAGCCACGCCCCCAATCACCGTCACACACTGCCAAGAACCATACACATACCCCCAGCCAACCCCTTGCCGGAACCCGGCAGCCACCTCGGCCAAAGGGCCAACCATCACAACCAGGAGCCTTGATCCAAAAAATCCGAACGAACCCGGGAGAACCGGAGCACCGCCCAGATTCTTCCTCTGTCTCTTCCTGAGCCTCCCACTCCACCCATCCTAATACAGTATTTAATAGCTATTTAACTGTTTGGTTTTTTTTTGTGTGTTTTTGTTTTTTCTGACTTGCCCTCGACAAAGATGGTCGCTCTTCTTCCCTCTCTCTGTCCCTGCTTTGCTCTTTGTCTTGTGAACCTTTTTCAGAGCTCCTTTTTGCTGCTCCTTTGTTTGCTGCCTTACACTGTGCCGTGTCAAGGACATGTTGTGAGAGATCTTTTTTTATACCTTCTCTCCTCATGTTTTCTTCCCCTTTTCTTATCTAAGCGATAAGGGCAACACTTCATAGAAGCAGCAGCACCGGTACACTTCCGTCTACCCTTCGGACGGCTGTACGGAATGAATTTTCACTGTACTTAACTGTGCAATGACAATAAAGTTGATTCTGATTCTGAAACACCTCTGAGCTTTGAGAATCTGATCATTTATGACAGATGTGAGAAGATTTTCCTCTGAATGCAGCAGAAGACTTCATCAGGTCCAACTGGACCCAAGCAGACAGATGCAGTTTGGTTGGCAGAAGACCTGAAAACATTTTCCTTTGTGAGGAAAACAAACGGACACGAAATCCTAAACTGGGCCCATGAACGTGCATTTTGACCATTCAGGGAACAAACGGAGGTTTGATCAAGCAGCTCGTTAATAAAACCCGACGGATCTAGAGAGTCCTCGGTGCTAAATCTGGAAACAAATCAGAGCTGACGGTTCAAGTCCATGAACTCACTCTTTGCCTTCTTCGTCAATGTCGTCCACTTCGTACCTGCAGGGACAGAAGAGAGGAGTGTTTGAGGGTCTCTGAACTGAAGGACCTGCAGATGTCTTTGATCTGGGACGACGTCCTCACTTGTTGGTGGAGTGGTTGTAGCTGACCACTTCAGCCAGGATCCACTGCTCGTCTCCGTCCACCGCCTTCACCCGCGCCGCCACCTTGTCTCCCTGCTTGGCCACGTAGTCGCCGCTGGCTGACGTCGCCCCGCACAGAGGAGGGGGACTGCGGGACCAAGACCAAGAGACAGGAAGAAAACTGAATTATGTTCGATTCTGGAAGGAATCAAGTTCAAAGCAGCCAAAGTCCAACAAAAATGTCCAAAAGACCTTTGGAAAGTCCAGAGAACGGAAGATCCAGAACCACTTCATCAGACTACAGGAAGTCTGGATTTGGAGTTTGAAACTGGACTGGATCTGGAGTTTTAGACGGGTCTGGATCAGGAGTTTTAGACTGGACTGGATCAGGAGTTTTAGACTGGACTAGATCAGGAGTTTAAGACTGGATCAGAACTTTTAGAATGGACTGGATCAGGAGTTTTAGACTGGACTGGATCAGGAGCACATCAGTGGTTAAAGAGTTGTTTGAGTAATAGGTTACAATATGTTATATGTACAAATTAACAACACAAAGTCACAAATTGAAACTATAAGATGTGGTCTTCCTCAAGGCTCAGTTCTAGGACCTAAATTATTCATACTTTATTTAATTGATATTTTACAGTATCCAGTATTTTGAAATTTATAATGTTTGCTGATGATATAAACTGTTTGTTCTGGAAAAGATACGGATGAACTAATACAAATAGTTGAAAAAGAGCTAGCGGAGTAAAAAAAAAGTGGTTTGATTATAATAAGCTATCTTTAAGTGGAAAAAAACAACTAAATTTATGGTATTTTCTGGTATTTGGATTTACAATAATGTAAAGTTACATATAAATGGAGTTGAGATCAACAGAGTTTATGACACGAAATTTGTAGGTCATTCTGAACAACAAACTTAGTTGGAAGCTTCATATTGAATATATTAGAAATAAAATTGCTAAAACTATCGGAACATTGTTTAAAATTAAAAAATATATATAAATGTAAAAGTCTTGCAAGACTGGACTGGGTCAGGAGTTTTAGACTGGACTGGGTCAAGAGTTTTAGACTGGACTGGATCAGGAGTTTTAGACTGGACTGGATCATGAGTTTTAGACTGGACTGGGTCAGGAGTTTTAGACTGGACTGGATCAGGAGTTTTAACGGGGTCTGGATCAGGAGTTTTTGGAGGATATTTGGTCAGAATGGTGGTCCAGAACCGGAGCCAAACCTCTCTCCAGGTTTGCCGATCCACAGCGGGAGTGTCATGGCCGACTGCTGCAGGAGCGTCATCAGAACGCCGCGCCTCATCGTCTTCCTGGGAGGGTCACCGTTGCTGTTAACCCCCGCGATCTTCGCAGCTGGAAAAACAAATTTAGTCTGAAGCTACAAAACCAGAACCAGAACTTGAGCCCACAGAAACGTACCAATCCGCCGCTCCTCCAGCAGGGACTTGATTTCTGCGATTTTATCCAGAGCGTGACGCAGGATGCTGCTGGGAGGAACAGACTTACTGAGTTTCCTGTGGAGGTGAAGCTGCTGCGTGTTTTCAGCTCTGTGTGTTCGCTCACCTGCATTCTGCCTCAGCGTCGGCCTTCGCCGTGGTGTAGAGCCCCCTCAGTTTGGAGCGGTAATATGGAGAGGCTGAAGGAGAGCGGGGGTAAGGTCAAAAGTCGTGGAACAAACTGATTCACCTGACGAAGACATCCAATAACAGCTGCGACACGCAGAGAGGACTCGTTAACATCTTAACCCACGTCTCAGACTGTGGGCTCCAGGAGGCAAACCAGCGACCTTCTGCTGTGAGGCGACTGCCCTAACCACTGCACTACCACGTTGTGCTTCTATAGAATTATTTATGGTTCTGTATGAATAATTTGACACAATATTCTGAAAACTAAACTTAATATCTTTATTCAAAATGTACTGAATGACGCTGGACAAAGAGTCCCACCGCGCACACACACACACACACACACACACACACACACACACACACACACACTCACACACAATGTAAATGACACCTCGGTCTTAAAGGGAAAGTTCAGATATTTTGAAGTGGGGTTCTCAGTAAACAAAATCTTACCTGTTGTAGATTAAATCAAAGTTTGCATTGAACGCAAACATATTTCTTTTGAAATTACTCTTACAGTAACTTTATTATTTTATTGTTATTATAAATAAAACTTAACGTGAGCCTCTCAAAGACAGGAGCAGCGAGTTTGATGTGGAATCACTCACTTTTATTTTCTGTCTGCATCCTCTCATGTGTTTTCTGGATGTTGAGCAGATTGTGTTCGCTGCGGGACCTCTCCTCCTGAAACATGAATATTCATCACCTGGTGGCAAAATGTCTGGTTTACTGAAAGAAAGAGGTTGAAGCTCACCTGTGTCTGTTTGATGAGCTGGTGGAGCTCCGTGAGCAGCTCAGCGATCTTTGTGTCAGCCGACATGTTGGATACTGTCAGACTCTGATGTTCATCCAGCAGAACTGAGAAACAAGATGAATTTAAATTAACTCTTAATAAAAAAATCCCTGTGATCTGGTGTAGATTATCAGACAACAGAGAGGTTCTTGTAACACGTTCGTATTTAAATCTTTAATGTCGTTGGTAAAGATGTGGATTTGATTGTCCAGATGTGGTCTGAGATTTGTGTTTTTTTCCACAGACGTATCCAGAAGCAATCAAATGGCTCTTTTCTGCACTTTCCTGAATATACAAACATATAAATATAAAAACCCAGACCAGGTGTAAAAAGGGCCACATGTTAAAAAGTAGATAAATTACATTTTCTTGGGTTTTTACAAACACAACAGTTTAAGATTAAAAAAGAAAACCCATCCATCATCTGATTCTGTACCCGCTTCTTCCTTTTTGGATTGCGGGGTTCACTGGTGCCCATGTCCAGCTATCACTGTGTGAGAGGTGGGGACCCTGGACATGTCTCCAGTCCATCACAGGGACACCTGGACAGGTCTCCAGTCTATCACAGGGACACATGGAGACAAACGAGACAAACAACCATTCTCTCTCACCTAGGGACAATTCAGTTACCAATAAGTCTAAAATGCATGTTTCTGGTCTGTGGGAGGAAACCAGAATACCTGGAGAAAAACCACGCAGCACGGAGAGAACATGCAAACTCCACCCAGAAAGGTCCCCGGCCGGGATTTGAACCGGCGACCTGCTCACTGAGAGGCGGCAACTCTGCGCCGCCGTGCTGCAAAAAGCAAACCCAAGTCTAAATAATAAAATCGTGTTTAAATGTGACGTGAGCGTCGAATAAAACCCGCAAATGTCTCATTATTATTATTTATACACGTCAAATCACAAGTTTCTAATCAGAGGTCATTTTAAGTTGTCTAATAAACATTCAGTTTTGCCACAAACAATAAAACTGAACTGGTTTATATCGTTACATAATTGATTATTTTCAACATTAAAAACTTATTTTAGCATTAAACATTAATAATAATAAATATTTGTCTCATTTGTTTCATAAAAACAACACAAATCCACTCACCGAGCGAGTTTACGTGTTTATTTATGCCTAACTAGCTAACTTGCTGTTAGCATCGTTTTCTTCTTCTTCGTTTCCGGTTAGACGCTTCATCCGCTCTAACTACAGCGCCGCTCCTCTCCACACCCTTTGCTGGCCAAAAGTGGTACTACAGCTCCAAACTGCTTCCTTGAAGCACGAGTCAAAAACGTTAATGTTGTCGTTGTTGCCAGAGCCCTGTAAAGAGAGTAAACTTTGAGAAAGAGAGTAAACCCTGTAAACTCTCTCTTTACAGGGCTCTGGTTGTTGCTGTTGTTTGTACGGTGGCCGACAGGTGCAAACAAACCGCAAACAGATAAATGCACAGCAATCAGTTAAAACGTGCTGTAAACACACAAATGATGCTCCTTCTTCTTTCGACTTTTCCCTTTTTGGTGGTTGCCACAGCAAGCCCACCTCCATCTCTGTTGTCTGTCCTCACTCCATCTACCTCCATGTCTGCTGCATCCATATATATTCTCTTTGGCCTTCCTCTCTGTCTTTCCTGGCAGCTGCATTTCTAGCATCTTGTGCTTGAAACACAGCCATTCATTCAACCTTTATTTAGACAGGTTAATCCTATTGAACCTCGAGGACTCATTTACGAGAGACCTGATTTCAACAAAGAGTGATGACAACGGTGGACAACGACAACAATAGACAATCATAAAAGAGGCATACAGATTTTTTATATATATTTTTTTACAAATTAAAATAAGAGGGCAAAAAAATTAGCCAAAAACAGCTAAATTATAAGGCAATGGAGGCTACCTATGGGACAGATTTGGTTGGCAGGCCCCAGATTGATGAAGTCCTCCGGATGGGGGATGAAATGTTTCTCCCTTAAACTAGTCAAGATGACATGATTTAACCTTTTATGTTGTTATCTACCTGGATGATTGAGCCTATAAACGTTTTTCTGAACCACTTTGGCCTTGGTTGTCCTCAGGCTGTTTCTGCGAGTAGCAAGATGGCCATCTAGTCGAAAACATTTGATTACTGTTGATGATGATTGTTTTGGATGGGTGTGCTCTGTTTGCATGTGTTAAAAGTCTACTTCTGAGATTCCAACAGGAGCTTGAAACACAGCAATGCTATGGGACAGATCTGGCAGACAGGCCCCTGACGGACGATGTCCTCCGGATGGGGGACAAAACATTTCTCACTTAAAGAAACCGTACAAGATAAATTCCACCCGTCACCACTGATGGCTCAGTGGGTAGAGCCGCCGCCTCTCGCGAGGTCACTGGATTGAATCCTGGCCGAGGACCTTTCTGTGTGGAGTTTGCATGTCGTCTCCATGCAGCATGGGTTTTCTCTGGGTACTCAGGTTTCCTCCCACATGTCAATATTCATATTAGGCTGATTGGTAACTTGTCACTAGTTTGTCTCTGCGGTGGACCGGAGACCTGTCCAGGGTGTCCCCCACCTCTCGCAGAGACTGCTGGACATGGGCACCGGTGACTCCCGCAACCCAATAAGGAAGAAGTGGGTAAAGACCGAACTTTATTCTGGGCATCCCTGAAGTCTTTGCAGGGGTTCTGGTCCCAGATGACTTGGTCCAGTCCTCCTTGTGGTCTGGTGGGCCTCAGTTTATCTGCATCTGTTCTAGAGTTTTAGTGTTTTTAATATTTGCATTTTTTTTTTTTGGAGTTTGCATCATTCTCATGTTCGCATCGTTCAGCCACCGAACAATGCATGTGAGCAGAGTGTCAAACGTGACGGTAAATAATGCTGTAAACAACTGAGTAAAAAAAACATTCTGTAAAGACAACACGTTTGTTTACATTCAGGAAGGATTGGCTTCTTGTGGCCGTTTTCCCGATCAAACATTTTTATGCTATGCCTGAACAGCTGATCAGGGAACTGATCTCTAGTTTGTTTTTCACACACATTTGGGCCACAGTAGTTCGGTGGTTACTTCCTGTTATCTTGAGGCCGCACGTTCGAGCGCCAATCGTTCACATGCTGACCCCTGAAGGAGCAGCCGAAAGGAAACGTTCAACCTCCATATCCAGGATTCATTTTTTAACGCTTTAATGCTAAAATTATAAAACACATCATGTGATCGATTAGCACGACTCTCGACCACTCCACAAAATACAACCAAGGTTTGCAACGTTCACTGAACCACAGCTACGGTTTCTACAGAGAAACTTTTGTTTCATTCAAATCCATCCAATGATTGAGACATTTTGCTAACACAAGCAGTTACATGATCGCCTGCTGATAAACGGTCAGGCCGTTTAGAGCTCACAGGATAAATAAAAAAAAAAAAACACCCGGACGTCGTTTAAAACACTTTAATGCAACAACAAAATAAAATCATCCAGCTGCAACACCACAGGTCCTGGAGCTTCACTGTCCCGGGCGGAGCCAGAACTCGGGAGCGTTTCACAATCCCTGCAGAGGCATGAAGAGAGGATCTGCAGGTTCCTCGGGTCCATCAGAGGTCCAGCAGAGGTCCTGCAGTCCGCACGTCTCAGTCCGTCACCATGAGGCCGTGGTTCGTGTCCGGGAGAAGCCGTCCGAGTAGCCCTGCTGATGAAGAAAATGGTTAGATGGAGGAGAACACCTCACCTGCAGAGCAAAGACCAACCAGAACTTTGATTTAATCCAGTCTCAGGTCAAAACTACCACAATATTCCAGACATAATGTAGTAAAGACCCAAGTACACATTTAAAATTCTCAACTCAATTCAGTTTATTTATAAAGCTCAAAGTCACAACAGAATCATCTCAGGGCACTGAACAGAAACATTCAGATATATAAATAATAATTTAACATTATTTATCTGAGGAGCTTTGAGTGTAACTCCATCACAGAACTCTCATCTTGAGAAAGCATGAAGGCGACAGTGGAAAGGAAAATCTCCCTCATGAGGAAGAAACCTTTAGCAGAACCAGGCTCAGGACAAGCAGCCTTCTGGGTTTGGTAGGAACAGATACACAATGGCAGGTCAAGAATCACATGTTAAGATAGAAATGGTATCAAATGAATTGTTAAAATTGAATAGTTTTCATCTAAGGAAATTAGGTCAATTTGTCCTCTAGTAGTCTAATAGCAGCATAACAAGCAAACCCTAACTATAGGATTTATCAAAAAGGAAAATCTTAAGCCCAGTCTTAAAACTGGACAATGTGTCAGCCTCTCAGACAGAAACTGGAAGTTGGTCAACTTCCAACTCCTTATCAAGACCTTTGTCACATGAAGGAGAAAACGTGTTTAGTCTAAAAGTAACATTTTTCTTCTGAGCCATGAAAACAAACACCAAAGGTTGTTTAAGATGTAAAAGCTGGTGTTTATGAATTTCATTAGAAATTTATTAATACTCTGGGACAGGGGTTCCATGCAGATTGCCCTAGTGCGCAATTTTTATTCTTATTACCATTTTTTATTTTTTTTTGCTCAGCTTTCTGAGGCCCCCCCTAGCACCCCCTGGCGGCCGCCCCTGCTCTGGGAGACAGAGCTGAGAAAGCAAAGGGTTAACAGCTGTTTGCAGCGTGGCAGCTGTGTGGAGGAAGGGCTGAAGGAAAAGCAACAAAAGACGCTCCAAACCTCAGCGACTACACGAACATTTTAAATTGTCATCTTAAAAAAAGTCACACATCTGGGATTAAGTTGATTCATTCTCAGAGGTACAAAGACATAAATTCGGGACATGTTTAAGATGATTTTGACCAGGAAACTTGCGGACTAAACCCGCTCGATTTACGAGAAGCTTAAATTAGAAGATTTCTAAAGGGAGATTCGAATATAAAGACTAGCCCCGCCCACTTTCTCCACCGTTCTAAACAAAATCCAAACTCCGTGAAAAATGCGTCCAATTTTAGATATGAACCTCTTCAGTTTAGTACGAGTCACTTTATAAGATTCAAACCTTTAACTGAACAATCTTTAGACGCGTGTGTTTAACTCGGCGCCAAGTTATTCAGAGATTAAACCCGGGATAAGTTGATTTCAGCTGTCGAACCTCAGGCTTCACTCCTTGGCCTTCTTGTCGCTGTTCTGAAGCTTCTCCTGGATCTTCCTCTCGTGTCCTGCAGGATTGTGTCGGTTCGTGTTCTCACTGGCCTCCTTCTTGGTTCTGCCTTTCCGGGCCGAACCCTCTGCAACACAGACACCGAACCAAGTCAGAGGAGGACAGGACAGAGGAGGACAGAGCCAGAGGAGGACAGAGCCAGAGGAGGACAGGACAGAGTAGGACAGGACAGAGTAGGACAGGACAGAGGAGGACAGGTGAGGAGGTCGTACCTGTGTATTTATCGCTCAGGTTGTAATATTCATACTCATCGAAATGATCCTCCTCGAACTTGGACGGCTTCAGGTTCTTCACGTCCACGTGACTCATGTTTGGTTCTGTTAAAAGTCTTCAGTCTGTTTGTTTGGTTCCTCCTGCAGGTTTTTATAAGTTTGTCTCCTCCTCTCTGCTCCTCCTCCTTCCTCACCTCCTCCTTCTCTGCCATAACAAATGTTGCATCAGAAAAATCCAAACAGGTTCTGCTGGTTTCACCAGAACCTCCCTCAGATCCATGAGGTCCAGCAGGTCCTCATTGATCACCAAATATTGATCATCATTGAACTCCTCCCACAGCCCGATGAGCTCAGTGTTTAGCTTAGATCTTTTAGTTTATATAGTTTATATCTATTATAAGATCCAGCAGCGCCGGATTCATTTTTGAGGTGGGGGGGCCGTGGGGGTCTTTGTCACCTTGCACTCTCTGAATGTTCAGTTCTGCCACTCAGTGATGTACATAGTACTTTCACCGTCATCAGATTTGGAAAAGTTGGCAACAAAAGTCTTTCTTGATAAAATGAAAATATATATAAATGTAACAAACTCCTGAATAATGTGTTCTTTTTTTCCACAGAGTGATGGACTTTAACGATTTAAAACAGCTAGCGTGTAAAAAAAAACAAGAAAAAGAAATAGATAATGAAATTAATGTAGAAGATGAAAACAACTTGAAGGCCTCATGGTCACAGTTTGTTACGAGGACAGATGGAGGCTGGAAGAAAACGGTTGCTTTAGCAACGGAGGCTCGGTAGCGTTTTCCTGGCGTTAGTAGTTCATGGTCACTGAGCAGAACTTGGGATGGATCCATCAAGGTCCATGTTGCCTGTTTAAGAGAAAAAGTACAAACGGTGCAGCCGCGCACCGCCCGAGTCGCTACAGAGCCGCGCCCCGGCTCAGGCTTCAGTTTCTATGTTGTTTAACCATTTGTGGAGAACTTATGACAACAGAGACGATTTTTTTTTTCACTTTTTGTTAAACTAACTACCGTTGTCTAAAAAAAGGCAGAAGTTTTTTGGAGGAAATGGCTCAGTGTGCAGTGGATGTCTGGAGAGATGATGTGACATACATTCAGAAATCAGAACAGAGCTGCTGCCACAGGTCCTGAATGATTAATGTTTTCTTCTGTTATTTCACAGATGACAAGTTCTTCTTCTCCTCCTCTGGATAAAGTCTCTCCAAAGCGACCTGCAGTTGCAAACTGCAGCTGCTTTTGGACGAGCAAAAATGACAAACTATCCACATAATTATTTGTACCCTGACAGCAAAAGTTATCTGCTCTGGGCCAAATATAGGTGAACATTTGGCCCGGACCCGTGAACGGACTTGGACCCGGGGTCTCTTGCTTTCCAATGGCACCGGCGTGGATCTAGGTCAGAGTCAGAGGTGGCCCACAGGTGCTATAAATACTGCACTTGGGCCAGATGTGGCACAAATATAAAATTCTTATTTCATTTTTAGGCTGATTTGGTCCAGACTCGAACCGGATCAGAGCCAAAACATGTTTTCAGGTGTCAGGCTCGTGATCCCAGCCCGACCCGGATCAGGCGCATGTGTGTAAATGTGTGACGTTTATGCGGATCTGCTAACTTGTAAACGGATTTGGCCCAGATCTGAATGCTGCAGGTTTTGCCTGTGCCTCTGTCTGTATGCACACGCACGCACACACGGATGTCAGTCACAGCTTGTTGGGTGTAACCTGTGTAAATGTCTGGAACCAGCTGATGGGCAGGGCCGTAAATCCTTATTTACTGTTTCTTTTTACACTTTATATTTTTGTTATTTTGGATATAACTGGGATCCTGAGTACACAATCTCATTCCACCTCATGTACCACATGTGATGAGAATGACAATAAACAACCTTCAACACAAACAAACACAAGCAGACACAAACAGACAAAAACAAAGAGAAGAGACCAAGTGGAAGGGAATCAAGGCTCGCAGAATTGGAACAGGGTTCAAACTGTTTTACCAAGGTGAGGATAGAAAGAGAAATTGAGTAGGTAGGGGTGGTTCTGAAGGAGGAGTTGGCAAAGAATGTATGTGAATGTGAAAAGGGTGTCAGATAGGGTGACGTGTCTGAAGGTAGAAGTCGAAGGTCTGATGCTAAATTCATTCAACCTTTATTTCTACAGGTTAAAGAGCCTCAAGGACGCATTTACAAGAGAGACCTGAATTTAACAAAGAGTGAAGACAACACTGGACAACAACAACAGACAATCATAAAAGAGGCATACAATAAGAAAAAAAGTATCAAAAACAGCTAAAAACAGTAACATGTCTGTATTAGTTCATAAATGTTGTCAGTGGTTATGCTCCACAGGTTGGATGTGATGTGGAGGAGAAAGATACATTTTGGAAAGATCTGGATGAAGTGATGGAGCATGTTCCCAGGGAGGAGAGAGTGGTGATTGGAGCAGACCTGAATGGACATGTTGGTGAAGGAAACAGGATGAGGAAGTGATGGGTAGGTTTGGTGTCAAGGAAAGAAACCAGGAAGGTGGTGATGATGATGATGGTGATGGATTTCACCAAGAGAATGGAAGCGAAAGAGTAGAGGTCATAGAAACTGTGGAGCAGGAAGTGGGTAAGATTAGTGAGGGTGAAGTCCAGAAAGCTCTGAAAAGAATGAAGAAAGGGAAGGCAGTCGGACCTGATGACAAACAAGTGGAGGTTTGGAAATATCTTGAAAAGATGGCAGTGAGGTTTTTGACTCAAATATTCAGTGTCATATTAGAGGATGAGAAAATACCTGAGGAGTGGAGAAGTGTGCTGATGAGGGTCCTCGATGATGTTGACGGTTGTTTTGATGTGGGTCATGACCCGTTTTTCGAAGCGTTTAGTGACTATTGGGGTGAGGTTAATGGGAGTTTGGGTGAGAATAAACAAATTCAAAAATAAACATAAAATATTATGTTGATTTGACAATCATTAATAATATGAAGCAAAAACAGCCAGGCAATTCAAATCTGCCACTTTATGTTTTAATACATAAGTTTTTTGTTTATCGTTTTGAAGCTGAACTACAGCCGAACATTTGTTTCAGTTTATTTACTGTTTGACCGTTAAAAAGGAGCAGAAAGTTTTAAAGAGTTGTTCCTCATTTTTGACGAGTTTCTGTTGGATTTCATTCTTTTAAAGCAGCAGGTGGATCGTTCTCGTTTTCATGGGGTAAGTGTTTTTACCTTTGACCCGGTGGACCTTCCAGCAGCAGGAGCGTTTTCTGTGGACATGTTTGCTCAGTATGTGACGAGGACATCTGGACCAGGTCAAAGTTCTGTCAACAGAGGAGTTAAAGGCCCAGAACACAGAACCCGGCAGCTGATTCTGGTCCGATCAGATCGAGGTGACACGACAAACACAGCTGACCTTAGATCAGACTTCAGACTCAAACAGAGATGAACTAAAACCTCATGAATCATTAAAATCTAAAATGCACGACTTTACGGCTGCTTAAATCCAGTAAAATTAAACCGTTTAAAAACAAATGAACACCTGAAACTCTTCATCACCCCATTTCCTTCGCATGTTAATAGATTCTGTCTAAATCTGAACGCTGGCTTCACCTTAACTGCGACTTCCCTCCATTGACTACGGTGACATCATGTACATGAACGCTTCTACAAACACTCTGTTGGATGTTGTCTGTCATGGTGCACTAAGATTAATAACTGGCTGTAACTACCGTAACTTTGCTGGTTAACTGGACATCATTAACTTCGCTGGTGAACTGAACATCATTAACTTTGCTGGTTAACTGGACATCATTAACTTTGCTGGTTAACTGGACATCATTAACTTTGCTGGTTAACTGGACATCATTAAC